GTGTGTATGGGGGGGGTATTTTTTCGCACATGCGCTTTTTGCATTAGTGGCGGGGCTTATCTGGAAGAGATCCCAAAGTTAATGTGTTCCGGATATCCAGCCGATCTACTTCGTCGTATCCTCAACGGCAAGGACACCCATGAGTTCTTTCGGCTGATGTCCATCTTCGCCAGTAAAGCGAGGGTAACGATTAGAGTTCGTTGACAATCCACTGACCGATGTGTCCATTACGCGGGTCTTGTGATTGAATTTCGTTCATCGCGTTGAATGCAAGGCTCAAATGTGACGGCGCACCATCCGCCTATAGAGCATCACAAAAGGATTTTTTTCAACCCCGTCTAAATCCTCTCTCTGTCTCTGTCTCTCTCTTTCCCCCTCTCTCTCAAAATTGGCGAGTATGCAAATGAATGTGCTGATTAACATATGTAAGACAAAAAAACAAAACTGAAGCATAATACTCATGAAATATGTCGCCAAACGGGATAAGGTTGTCAGAGACAAACTTCGGTCTAAATGTGTACCCGATCAGTTGTGCTTACCACGAATATATCGGATGGACAGATAGGTATCTTTAAAAGCAGACTAACACTTGGAAATTCACTGAAGCGTTGACTCTCGAGGTTGCTTATCCCATTCATTTCTCGGGTGATCGTTTTTTGCAAGGTAAAAATGCTTTCGAATCGTCGCGTTTTTCGGGTTTTCATAAGTTGTTCAACTATCTGACACTGTCCTCTAAACATCTATCGAAATGGTCAGTCGGCAAAGCGCTCAGATCTTGTTTTTGATGCATCGATAATATGTGTATATATGAAACCAATCAATGCGGAAAGTAGTACTTTTGTTTCACCCACACCGAAAATCATCAGCTCCTCATGAAACGCGAATCCGAGTCTCGAACCCGCGAGCCCCCGTTCGACCACAAGCGACAGCGTGACCAACTAACAGCTAGACAGAATATAGCGCTGTCCGCCCTTCGATCATCCTCTACAGGCTGGAATGCTCCTCATATATCGGGTGTTCGAGCTTTCTTGAAATTTCGTGAGTTTCGCGCACTGCTGATGTTTTCCATCGAAAATGGAACAGCTACGCAATGCTTCTCGGCTTTTCAGCACACTTTGGCGTCATTCAAAGGAGGGAAATTCCAAAATCTCCTTCCCCTATCATAAAGAATTATATTTGACAATTCCAGCACTACCGTTTTCAACCAGCTTATCTTGTGGGATTTCTCGTAGAAGGGCAAAAAATGCGCATTGAAAAATGGGTCTGTACGAAGAGATATTCAAAGACATCCATCATAACTGTGTTATTATGTAAATATATATATATATAT